GTAGGTGTTGTAAGATATGCAAGCTCAATCTCCAACATTAATATCTCTTTGTTCAGTGAGAAACTTAAATTATTGAGCCCCTGGGCTGCCCACAGCACAAGGCACAGGCTCAGTATAGCAGTCTGCATTTTAACCAAACCAAAAGCAAAGGTAGCCTTATAAGGAGGCAGCCAGCACTGGATCTGAGTTCAAATTCATTTAGACATTTACTACCCTGGGCAAGTCATTAACGTCTGTTTGCCTTAATCCACTGGAAAAAGAAATGGCCAACCACATCAGTATATTTGCCAAGAAAACCCTGTGAATAGTGTTGGCATGCTATGGTCTAAGGGGTCACAAAGATGTGGACACAACTGAACAACTAACCAAGAAGAGTCATTAAGCCAGAACTTCATTTTCTAAATGGTGGCACCTCTGTTTAAGGCACACTCAAGTGCTTCATTGCCGGAGGTGAGCCTGGACTCTCAAAGATTATTCCAATAGATTGCAAGTTTTGATGATCCTACCCAAGTCCTCTGAGCGGAGTACAGGCCGTGGATGGTGGCACCATTGCATCTTCTGAGGTCACCAGAGGTTTGGACAGCAAAGGATGGCCCTGGGGGAGCCATAGAAACTGAAGAAAACTGTTTTGAGGTGTAGAGAGGTTCTGACCTGGACCAGTGGGGGGAACACCTGTACCTGTCAGAAACCTATGAACACAGACCTGAAATGCTCAGGTGTTCATTTGCCTTACTCCAAGATTAAAGAGAAACAAACCCCTGGATTCTGAAGCTTAGGAATGATCATTTCTTTTTCTTTAGACTTACCTGAGAAAAAATGTTCTTTGTCCTCATGCTGGACATTGCTTCCCTTGGCAAATACTTTTCAGACCCCAATGTTTTTAATGGAATAAATAAATTGAATTTAGATGTTTCAGAGGCATATATTTTAACCTAGACTATCTCAAATCTTCTCCCCCCAAAAAATTTTAAATAGATTATTGTAATTTTTGCTAGAGTACTATTTTTTCCCTCTAAGGAGAGAGAAATTTTGCTTTATCATCTTTTCCTTCTTGGGATGCCACATGTCTTAAGCATAAAGGCTTTTGGGTTAATATCAACTCCTTTAACTAAACTTAACTCCTTAGGGGAGGACCCAAAAAATACTAAGGAGCATTTTTAGACTTGGCAGCTTGAGATACTGGTAAAAGCAAAAGACTTGAAGTCAGTAGACCCAGTTTCAAGTTCTGGTTCTGACACCTTTACTGGCTGTGGGACCCTGAGCAAAGCAAACCTTTACCTCAGTTTCCTCATGCATAGAATGGACACAATAATCATTATTCTATGTACTAAAACAGCTTATTTTGAGGAGAGTACTTTGTAAACATTAAAAAGCCATCACCCTGTGAGTTGTTAGTATCTCTGTGTATGTCAAATAAAAAAATCACTCCTAGATTCATAGTTGGGGAAAACATCAAAATTATAGTTACTTCTGAAGTACACAATTTTTTTTTTTTGGTAGCCATATCTTTTATTTTTTAAAAATAATATTTTTGGGGGCAGCTAGGTGGCACAGTGGATAGAGAACCAGCTCTGGAGTCAGGAGGACCTGAGTTCAAATTCAGCCTCAGACACATAACACTCACTAGCTGTGTAACTCTGGGCAAGTCACTTAACCCCATTTGCCCTCACCAAAAAAAAAAAAAAAAAAAAAATTCTTCCCATGTAAGGACATTTTAAGCATTCTTTTTTTTTTTTTTTAATTCTGAGTTCCAAATTTTCTTTCTCCCCTCCCTCACCTCCCTGAGGTACACAATCCTGAGAACATATTCATCCAGGCATAGTTGACAATAAGATCTAGAGGACTAAATTTAAAATTCACTAGTAGGTTTATACCCCGGCATGGTCAATTATAAGAAGAAAGTCCCCATACTCACCAAACTATTTATAGCAGCACTTTTGGTGATAGGAAAAAAAAATTTAAAACAAAGTAGATGCCCATCAACTGACAAACAGCTAAAAAGATTGTGGTACATTAATGCAATGGCATATTACTCTACTGTAAGAAATGATGAGCATAATGAATACAGAGAAGCACAGAAAGATTTACAAAGCATGATGCAGAAGTAAGTAAGCAGAGCCAAGAAAGTACAGATAGCTGCAGCAATATCAGTAGGAAGAACACCCACAAAACAATCAAAAGTGAGTTACAAAGAATTAGCCTGGCTCCAGTGAAGAGACATGAGAACTTTCCCTCACCCCGTCCCTTTGCAGTGTTGGGAGGGCCACAGGTGTGGCACATATTTCCAGCCTTTTCCAATATGTTCATTAATGTTGTTGAGGGTTTTTTTCCCCCTTTTCCTTTTTTTTTCTTTAAAAATACTATCGTGGGGGCAGCTCGGTGGCATAGTGGATAGAGCCCCAGCCCTGAAGTCAGGAGGACCCGAGTTCAAATCCGGCCTCAGACCAAACACTTGACACTTAGGAGCTGTGTGACCTTGGGCAAGTCACTCATCCTCTGTTTGGGAGGCAGCTAGGTGGTTCAGTAGATAGGGTGCTGGGCCTGGAGTCAGGAAGACCTGAATTCATCAGATCCTTATTAGCTGTGTGACCCTGGGCAAGTCATTTAACCTGTTTGCCTTAATCCACTGGAGAAGGAAATGGCAAACCACTGCAATATCTTTGCCAAGAAAACCCCATGGACATTATGATCCATGGAGTCATAGAGGGGTTTTTGGAGTTTTCCTTGTGTTTTTGTGTTCTAGATATCAGTTGTCTGAGGCTTGGGATCTCATTCTGGGGAGCCTTTTGTTACCTGTCCCCTGTGATATCTCTTCTAATGAAGCACCTCATAAGTCTAAAGCTTCCCTCAGTTCCCATATTGGTCTTTTGCTCCTCATTAATTTTAAGAGCTGTGATGAGCTTTAAAATGGTCACTAAATGGGAGGGGCCAATGTACAATTCTTCACTCTTTAAAAATGAACATGAATTACTTGTTTGTGGTTAGACTTGGGAAATGAGTGATTGTATACAGGAAGCTGTGTGCAGACCAGTTTGATTGCAGTGGAAGGAAAGTAACATGAAATAAGACCAGAAGGCAAAGAATGAGAAATGGTGGAGGTTCCTTCCTATCAATTGAGGAATGAATGAACAAGTTATGGGTCATGAATGTGATAGAATACTATTGTGCTGTAAGAAATGATGAAGGGGATGGTTTCAGAAAAACCTGGGAAGACTTGTATGACCTGATGAAGAGCGAAGTGAGCAGAACAGGAGAAGAATTTAAATAACAGTGTTGTAAAGACAGACAGCTTTAGGGGCTGTGATCAACATAATGGCCAACCGTAATTCCAGAGGTCTCAAGATAAAACATGGTACTCTGCCTCCTGATAAAGACATGATAGACTCAAAATATGGACAAGACTGTCTTTTTTTTTTTTTTTTAATTTGGCCAACCTGGGAATTTGTTTTGTATAACAATACAGGTTTGTATTTGTCTAGGGGATTTCCTTTTTCTTGCTTTCTCAATAGGGGTGAGGGGGGAAGAGTATCAGACAATACTGATCTAAAAATAAAATAAAATTTAATAAAATAAAAAGAAACAACTCTAGTAGGAGCTTCATAGTGGAGGGTCTTAAACACTGCACTGAGGATTTTGTATTTTATCCTGATGGCAACAGGGAGTCAGGGAAGATTTTTAGTAGCAGGATGGCATGGTTAAATCTATATTTTAGAAATACCAATTTATCCATTTTGTGGAGGAAGGGTTGAAAAAGGAGAGATACCGGAAATGGTGAGACCAGTTGAAAAAGTATTGCAGTAGACAGAGGTGCACAAAGATGAAGGCTGGAGAGAAGAGGCTTATAAGAGATATATCATAGATTGGATACAGGAGAAGAAGGAAGGGGACGAGTCAAGGAATACTCTGAGGATAGATTTGGAAGACTGGAAAATTAGTGGTACCCTTAACAGAAATCGGGAAATTTGAAGAAGGGGCAGGTTTAGAGGGTGAAGACAAGGGGTTCCATTTTGGACGTAATGGAGTTCAATGGAGTTCAGTTTGTGACATCCAGCTGGAGATTTACTGATTTAACTTTTCTTATATGCTTTACTATTAATAGTTATTATAGTTTACCACTAAGAAGACGAGGACCTCAACAGTGAGAAGAATATAAGGTCAAAGATTTAGAGTTGAAATGGACCTTAGAAATCATTTAGTCCAATCCTTTCATTTTTACTGAGGAAGAAATTGAGGCCCAAGAGACTTTCAGTGACTTACCCAAGGTCACCCTAGTAGTATGTGGCAAAGCTGAGATTTTTACTCAGGACTTCTGAATCCAAATCTAGTACTCTTTTCCTTGCATGCTGGACTTGGCTTGTGTGATTTCTTACCATCTATTCTTTGACCTTTGATAGGATAGGATAAATCTCTCATAAACAGGGTTTTGATGTTTTTAATGCTCTCCAGAAATAACGGCACCACATGTGAGTGAATCATGTTATAATTTCTTAGCTGATAAATGAACATGATCTTCCCAAGATGTTCTTTGGAATCCTTTTGACAGAAGCTTAGATTATAGGTTTCTTTAATGACAGGGTTTTGTATGTCTGTCTTTTGCACAGAAGGTACTCAGTCTTTTCCTCCAACATTCCAGTACTAGGAACCATTCTAAACAGATTACCACACTTTGGTGAAGGGCTAGTGTGGTATAAAATTGTTAGAGAAATAGGAAAAAGTATTCCATTTCCCAAGATACTCTGTGGAAATTGCTGATTATAGGGCCAGGGAAGGGGAGAATAAATTGTAGAGACTGATAGCTTTGTGGAGAAGCTGCTATTCCCTTTTCCCACTTTTTCTTCACTTCTTCGGGTTTCTTTTTAAGATAAGGTTTTTTTTTCTTCCCCTGATCTTAATGCCACATAGACAATGAATAGCAGGACTGTTTACCAGTTGCATGGCTGTACAGGCTATTTCCCTTTCTCTGTTTACCGTTTAACAATCCATTTATTTTGATGTTTCAGGCAAAACTAGATGGTGGAAGGCAGCAGTGGAGACCAGTCCTGATGGCTGTGACTGAGAAGGATTTACTGCTCTATGACTACATGCCATGGACAAGGGACGCCTGGGCATCACCATGTCATAGCTACCCTCTTATTGCCACGCGGTAAGACACATACCTCCATGGAAATCTATCTTACCCTATAGAAAAATAAGGGGGGAAGGGGACAAGAAAGCAGGGAATTGATAGAGGGGAGGGCAGATTGGGGGAGGGGAGATTGGCGGAGGGGATAATCAAAAGCAAACACTTCTGAGGAGGGACAGAGTCAAAAGAGAGAATAGAGGGGGCAGCTAGGAGGCGCAGTGGATAGAGCACCGGCCCTGGATTCAGGAAGACCTGTGTTCAAATCCGGCCTCAGACACATAACACTTACTAGATGTGTGACCCTGGGCAAGTCACTTAACCCCATTGCCTAGCCAAAAAATGAAAATAAAAATTAAAAAAAAAACTAAAAAAACCAAAACAAAAGAGAGAATCAAATAAATGGGGGGTAGGATAGGATGAAGGGAAATATACTTAGTTTTTCACAACAGGACTACTATGGAAGTGTTTTGCATAACTACACATCTATAACCTGTATCGAGATGCTTGCCTTTTCAATGAGGGTGGGTGGGGAGGGAGGAAGGGAGAAAATTTGTAACCCAAAGTTTTAAAAACACATGTTAAAAAAATTTTTTTTTAATTTTTAAAAATTAAAAAAAAAAGACACATACCTCCAAATAAATTGGGTCCAACTCTCCCAAGGAATTTTTAGACTGCATGATGAATTTTAGTGCCATCATTGCTTTTTAAGTAACTAGTCTTCTTATTTTAAGCAAAAGTGTGGCTTTTGAACTCTATCTATCATATTACAGAGCCTGTTTCAAGCCAATGTGCTTCTGTCTTTCCTGTCATTTTTAGGTGTGAAATAAGCTTCTTTCTAATCTTGAAGGGATCTACTATTCATTAAATTTTTAAAAACAGCTGCTCTTTTAAGAGCTGTCTAGGTCACTAAGATAAGAGAATGACGTGATCACTATGTCATTGTCTGTGACTGGAAAACCACTGAAATTTTGATAGCCTTCAGGTTGAATGATGAAAGCATTTCATCTAGAGTGCAGTAATGTGAATAAACCACATGACTTAGCCCATATATCCTTTAGCTTCTCTTTCTAATATAAAAGCATATAATTTTGGCTCCATAAAATAAACATTGACTTCATTGTGAATAAAACCAGCAAGATGTTCTGGGCAGTCCAGACATAGAGAATTGGGAGATGTAGATTTGAGAACTGTGGGGTCCAAAGTTGCCCAACCTACAATAAAAGAAATGAAGCAGATCTCTGAGCCAATAGTACTTTATTAAAGGGTCCATGGCCCCTCTAATGAAGTTGACTTCAGATCTTCCTCACAATCTCAGATGCCCCCTTCCTCCAGGGCTTCAGTTTCATAGTCCTTGATACCCAGATGGTACAGAAGAGTCAAAGGAAAATGCATCTCATTGGTTGATGGACCTTGACCTTGATGCAGACTAGGAGGGTCTGCATAAAATACATAATCCCATTGGTTGGCAAATGAGCTTATGAGCAGGCCTTAACAGACCTATCTTGACCTTTCAGGGGGTCCTACTGAGCCAACAAGCAGACCCATGGACTGGACTGATAAAAAGATGTCAACACATCTACAGGGGCTGATGAGCTAGTAGAAAGGCAGGCCACAGGCTGACACACAGAAGGGGTCATTTATTGGCCAAACACTCGTGGCCATCTCTCCATGTTGGGCAGTAGAGGGATGATGAGGGATGGAGGGGCAACAAAAATAGCTGGGGGACTTTCCATTTCATTGAATCACTCTGCCACACTAGACTTGTTCACTTTAACGAGGAAAAACAAGGGTGGTGATCCTCTGATTAGTTTCCTATGATTAAGCAAGTGAATTTATAATCTGCACTTCACAACTCTGGGGCCTAATATGCAGAGTTTATAATCACTACCTGTATGGAATCATATCAAACTGATGAATAGTGAGCGGAATAAAATAGGGGTCCAATTAATCATCTATCAAAGAACTGCAGATTTTTTTAGTGCAAAACTTCTTTAAAATAAAAAAATTCCATTTTATTTTCAAGTCCCCAATTCTCTCCCTTTTACCTTCTCCTCTCCTCATTGAGAAAACAAGAAAAGCCCTTGTCACAAACATGTATAGTCAAACAAAACAAATTTCTGTGTTGATCCATAAACAAAAAAAAGAAAAATATGCCTCACTCTGCACCGGAGCTGGGTAGCATGTTTTATCATGAATCCTCTGGAATTTTAGTTGATCATTTTGTTTATCAGAGTTCCTAAGTCTTTCAAAGCTTTTTGCCACTGAAATATTGTTGTTATTGTATAAATTGTTCTCCTGGTTCTGTTCATTTCACTTTGCATCTGTTCATACAGGTCTTCTTAGGTTTTTCTGAAACCATTCCCTTCATCATTTCGTACAGCACCATAGTATTCCATCACATTCATGCACCATTACTTGCTCAGCCATTCATGCCCCAATTGATGGATACCTACTCTATTTCCAATTCTTTGCCACCACAAAAAAAGCTACTATAAATACATGGTGTCTTTCCCCCTCTTTGTTTGATCACTTTTAAGCACAGACCTAATAGCAATATTGCTAGGCCAAAGGCTAATGATGCACAGTTTAACAGTTTGGGGGCATAGGTTAAAAATTTCTTTCCCAAACGACTGGACCAGTTCACAGCTCCATCAGCAGCAAAGGAGTGTGTCCGTTTTTCCCACAGACCCTTCAGCATTTGTAATTTCCTTTTTTTTTTTTTTTTGGGTCAGCTTTGCCAGTCTGATGGGTGTGAGTTGGTACCTTAGAGCTGTTCTAATTTAATTTAAATTTCTCTAATTATTTGTGATTTTGAGCATTTTTCTTATGAATATTAATAGCTTTTATTACTTCTTCTGAAAACTGCCTATTCATATTCTTTGACCATTTATCAATCAAAGAATGCAGGCTAAAGTTTCTTAAATGATAATACTCAAATATGGCCAAACTAGAATATGTATATCCATTTGTTGCTATGTCTCAGATAAACTTGTTAATCCAACTTTACTAAAAGTCAACCCCTCCCCTAAAGTAATTTGGTAGATAGAAGTGCTCGGTGTCATTATGCCAGACTTACACTGAGGTGCAGGTGGAGGAGAGAGGGAGAGAGCTCACAGGAATTTGGGGCCTTTTTATATGAAAAGGGTAAACTAAAAGGATAAGTATTGAGCCCTTGTCACTTGTGTAGACACTCTGTAGAACAGCAGGGTCCTGCAGTGCCAAAATTGGTTGGCGTGTAGCTTTTGAGGCTGGCACCATTTCTGTAAAGCAGGATGCATCCATCGTGCACGTAGGAGGAGACTCAGGGCCAGGGGACCTACAGAGGGTGGGTGGACACACCTCAGATAAAGGAGGTCCCTCCTTCACTTACTGTTCTGCTGCCTAAGATAGGGACTTGCCCTATGGCACTTCTGTAGGAAATATTTAATCACGAGTGAATTCCTGTGTCTCTTCTTTGAAAGATATGTTACCTTCTCACCAAATCCCATAAGCCTTCCAGAAACCCAGGACAGTAGTAGTAATTCTTTAGGGAAATGAATGAATGAAAGCAGTAAACCAGGCCTACCAGACCAAGAACATTTGTGTTCTGCTGAAGTTGGGGTATCCTTGTGTGTGCACTGCTAGGCTAGATTTTATTTGCAAGTGTAAGGAGGAAATGTGGGAGCATGCCTGAACCATAAGGGGAGGTATTTGAACTGAAACCTGTCTAAGGTAAACTAAAGAAGGGTCTAAAGCATCAGGCATTCTGAAAATCATGTTACTAGTAAAAATGACCAGAAGGAGGAAATATCGACAACCTGATCATTCCACAGAGTATGCACACGATGGGAGAGTGGTTCTTACTGCATTTTTAAGTGCTTTAATCCATCACCCTGGGAGGGGGAGGTTGGGGAGTCACCCAGAGGGGGTTCAGGAATTATGGGACTATAGCTTAATGATAGTTTGGGGACTGGCACCATATAGCCACAGTATAAGCAACCAGAAAATTTGGTGTGAACCAATAAATTTTCTTAAATTATTAAATATAAGTAAATTCAGTGAATTCTGGTTATTTTAAGCCCTGCTACAGGATAGGTAGATTGAATTTATAGGCACCATGGCCAATAATCTTGCCTTTTGCAAGATTAATTGCTGTTAAAATTACAACTTTACTTCTGTCTAGTTCAGGAAGTAAGTAGGGTAGGTGACTCACAAAGTTGACAGGCAGGTGGTAAGGTTAATTTTTCCATAATCAATCATTAGAGGTACATGTGTATATAGGTGGTTGAACCAAAAGTTTAAGTCATAAAATAGAAAGTTAGGATAATGTGGGCTCAAATCCTTCATCTGACACTAGCTGTGTGACCTTGGACAAACTAACCTCTTTGAGCCTCAGTTTCCTCATCTGTAAAATGGAGATATTAATACCTGTAGTACCTACCCCCACGGGGTTGTTGTGAGTCTCGGATGAAAAGATGTATGTAAAATGTTATGTAAATCTTCAACATGCTACATGAATTTCAGTTGTTGTTATTATTTTCTCTATCCCTACTATCCAGTTAGGTAAGAGATGTAAGTGAGAAGCTATATACTTGAGTCAAATACAGGGACAATAGACAACCAGGGAAAGAGAGATCATGGAATGTGATGACCCTTGAAAGGAGGCAGGGCATCTGAGAAATGGAAATCCAATGGCTTGTCTGAGGGAGGTAGGAGAAGTTTCTGGGATTTGTAGAAGAAGAGAAAGGCGGCTTTGAAATTGGTGTTTCACCCATTCTCCTTTTTCCAATCCTTTGGGACAGTCTCTAATGAGTAATAAAATGGCTAGAAAATAGGCAGCATTAAAGAGTGTAAAGAAGGAAAACAATAATGGCCTTGCCCATCCATAAAATACGGGGTCATTCCCCGCCTCATCAAGCATTGATTAGTTTGAAAAGAGAGATGATCCTCTTTTGTGATATCATTCCCCAGGCCTTGTTACTTAAGTTACATTACATGTTAAAAAGGTCTGTGAAACCAGTGTTGTTTTCTGTTTTTTTAAAAGCTGATATTTTAGCCTGAAAAATTAAACAAAACTGAAAAGTGAAAAAAAGGAATTTTTCTTTTACAAGCAGTTCCTGAGATTGAAGCCAGATGGACAGTGGAAGCAGGAAGACAGACACACCAGTTTTACAGGGCTGTGGATGACTTGCTCTGTGGGCTTAGGATGTGGGTTTTGTAGGCTTTTCCTCCAGGCTCTGGTTGGGGGAGTAAAACAACATGGAGCTACTTTACAACGTGGAAACCAAGAGGAGCTGTGCTTATGTTGCTCTCTGGCCACAGACTCTCCTCACACCTCCCGAGCTCGGGTCCCTTCCTCAGAAGGCGTGGCCTATAACCAACTGCTGCTCAGCAAGAGTCCTACAGCTGGGTTGAATTAAGTTCCTTGTGCCAAACACTCCACGATCGAATGTGTAGAAAAAAATTCTCCTGGAGTTTATATTTTTTAATATCTGATTTGGGATTAAAGCCTAGCTGAATACGGTGGAATACATCCAGTTATTCTTCCAACCACCGGGTTCCACTTTGATCACACACACACACACACACACACACACACACTCACACACACACACTCACACACACTCACACACTCTCTCTCTCTCTTCCTAACAATACTTTATTTTAGCTCTTGCTGAGTTGACTAATATCTAGATGACGTGTTGGTTTTTGAGTAATTGGAAGAATTTTTTTCCCTTTCTTAGCTGTAGCAGCTGGTAGATTGTTGGGCCAGGCACCCAGGCCAACACTGGCTCTCCAGTTACACAGAGAGCTGAACTGTGCATTCATCTTGGCCCTTCCAACATCTTGCCTAGTTTACCGCGTGGGGGAAAGAAAGAGCAGGTGAAGATTGTACATTAAGACACAGTCCAAGTGTTTGTTCCCTTTCAATCCATAATTCTTTTATGAAACTATGACCTGCCATTTTCTTACCTTCTTTTCAGATGGCTATTCCCTAATAAGATTTTAAAATGACTCCAATCTGGAAAAATGTTGGCATCTTAAATTCAGTATCCCAGCTGGAATTCATCTCCCTGCACATTCTCACCCCCCACGCCCATTCTTCTCCAGATTTCTAGGGAGCTCCATCCTTCCAGTCACCTGGGTTCATGGATTCTCTTCCCTCTCCTGTACCACCCCCAAGACTCAGTTGCCACCTGTGCCACAGAGCTGGCTTCCTGCTCTTTCTCTCCACTCGCACAGCCACCCCACAAGTTTAGGCCCCCATCACCTCTTGCCACAGCCTCCTAATTGGTCTCCTTGCTCCCGATGTCTTCTATCCTCCACACAGCTACCAGCTTGGTGAGCTTGCAGTACAGCTGTGGCTTCATCAGCCTTAGAGCGAAGAGACTTGGGAGATTCAGGCATATGAAGAAGCTCAGAGTTGTCATTTTCTAGCAACATGCCAGTGATTTTACCAGCCAGGGTAGGGTCGTGGCCTGAATGAGTGGAAACAGCCATTCACCCAGCATCTGCTTTTGCTCTTGCATACGCTCTATATCCTAACCAAACTGGCCTGGTGGTGTTCTTTCTAGACTTGGGGTTCTGTCTCCTGCCTTTGTACCTTTGCAAATGCACTCTGGGCTCACCTCCTGGTTTTCTTCAAGGCTCTGTGCTAGTGCTACAGTTATGCAAAATGCTTCCTAATCTTCCTAATTGTTTGTTCTCTCTTCCATCTCAAATTATCTTCTGTGTACCTCTTGACTCAGCAATACTACTACTAGGTCTGTACCCCAAAGAGATCACAGGAAAAGGAAAAGGACCCATTTATACAGAAACATTTACAGCAGTCCTTTTTGTGGTGGCAAAGCCCTGTGGTTGTCCTGGTGCTCAAAGAGGACCAAAATGACATTACAATGCCAGGATCCATATATAGTATGTCCAGCTATGGTGGATCAGACCAATTCTAGGTTGGAAGGTTCTACCACAGGTTGAGCACAAACAGTCTAAATGAATATTTGAGTGGAGATGTCTCTAAGTTTGTGCATCTCATGTTTCTTTTAAGTTACTGAGCACAGGGGATGCCCATCAACTGGGGAATGGCTGAACAAATTATGGTATGTGATTGTGATGGAATACTATTGTGCTATAAGAATTTATGAGAGAGATGGTTTCAGAAAAACCTGGGAGGATGTATATGAACTGATGCAAAGTAAAGTACGCAGAACCAGGAGAACAATTTATAATAATAACAGTATTATAAAGAGAATCAATTTTGAAAGACTTGGAAACTCTGAGCAACACAATGACCTACTAAAATTCCAGAGGACTCATCATGAAACATCTCCTGATACAGAACTAATGGACTCAGAGTGCAGATTGAAGCCTATTTTATTTTCTTCCTCTTTTCCTAGACATGGCTAATGCTGGAATTTGTTTTGCCTGACTATATATATTTGTAATGGATTTTGTTTTTCTTGCCTTTTCAACAGGTGGGGCAGAAGGAGAGGGGAAAGAAAGAAATTTGACCTGAAAATAAAATAAAATTGAATTTAAAAAATTATACGTATACGTAGCTATTCACATATTGTGTTCCCCCAGTATAATGTAAGCTGCTTAAGGGCAGGGACTATTTTTCAGTTTGTCTTTGTATTCCTGGAGCCAGGGCAGCTAAGAGGTGCAGTAAGTAGGGTGCCTGTCCTGGAGTCAGGAAGATTCATCTTCCCGAGTTCAAATCTAGCCTCAGACATTTACCAGCTGTGTGACCAGCTGTGTCACTTAACCCTGTTTACCTCAGTTTCCTCATTTGTAAAATGAGCTAGAGAAGGAAGCAGCAAACCACTGCAGTATCTTTGCCAAGAAATGTGTCCAAATGGGACACGATTTGAAAAAACAGTAGAACAATTACCAGAGCCTACCCTAGTCTGTCTTTTGCATGTAGTAGGCATTTAATAAAATGCATGTTGAATTAGAGGTAGTGTATAACATTTTAAAAATAACGTTGTTTTGGCACGGGAGGCATAGTGGAAACAGACCAAATTCAAGGATTTTCCTGAAATGAAATCCATGAAAAGTTCAGTGGTCTAGTGAGAATGGCATTCTTTGTGGTTTTTTACATGTGCAGTTCATTCTTGGTTATCAGTGGGGGTGTTTTGTTAATATATTGTATTAACACTCAGTACTTGACAAGTTCTTACACATTTTTCCCTCCTACAAATATTTTCCTATCATAAATCCTAGATGTCACATTTTTGGGGTCTTTGTCCTTGAAATTCTCTTCTTGCCTCAGGCTCTATTTCTGATTTCTGCAAAGCAGGCAGTATGAGAAGATTTGAGATTCTGTATTGGTCAGGCTTCTCACTGTTGATTTCTTTTCTCTGCTTTATTTCATTTCCATCCCTCATTTTATTTGCCTCATCTCCCAACAGGGATCATTCCTTCCGCAGCCTATCTCCCAGTTATATCCTGTGGTGTCATTGAATTCTCAAAGCAAAATAAATTTTAATGCACCAATTATAAAAAAATTTCAAAGGACAAATTAAGTCCTAGGTGGATGATCTGATTGTGAAACATCATGACGTATGATATTTGTGTCACCATCATTTCCTTGTCCTAAATTGTAAGGTAGGAAAGAACTTTGCCCATTCCTTTCTGGTGTCCCATACAAGTACTGACATTCTATTAATCAGTTATGGCAAATATACTATTGTTTGGTGAACAAGAAATTTACTTGGGGCACAAAGAGCTCATCCTTCATGAGACATGAGGAATTTTTCATCTTAAGAAATAGTAAATAGTTTCTCTCATTGAAAATAATATGGCTCCAAATAGGACTAAACAAAGAGATGGACATCTCAACAACTTGTATTTATTTCCCCATCATAGCCTCTGGGACAAAAGGGTCCTGCCCCACTTGGGACTCTTGCCTCAAAAACTTTCCAAAGGTCTTTCCTTCTCTCCCCTCTACCCTCATTTATAGTGAACTTTGGAGGACAGACAGGGCCCAGTTTATTCCTCCTCCTGAATGAAGCCACAGGGCAGTAGCGTAGATTTAGAGCTGGAAGGAAGGGTCCTTCAAAGCCATCTGGTCCAACCCTCTCATTCCCAGATGGGGAAACTAAGGCCTGTGGTCACACAGCTAGTAAGCATCATAAGTCACATTTGAATACAGGTCCTCTGACCCAACTTACATTGTTTTTGTTTCCCACTGTGCTATACTACCTCTAACAGAATTCTCAAACTCTGAGAAGAGGGAAAGGCAGAGGAAGGGCTTAGAGACAGAAGTTTGACTTGCCTCGAAATGACAATGTTTCCACCACCATCTTCCCTCATCCTTTGTTCCATCAGCTGGACTAGACTTTTCTAGATTGTTGGTTTTTTCCCTGCCTCATTTTGTCCAAAGGCCCCTGCATGAGACTTCCTGCCTTCTCTGTCCTCTTTTCCACCCATGTGAACCTTATTCATCCCTCAGGTTCTGCCTGAAGCTGGGTATGAAGTCATCACCCTCTCCCCACAGAGATTTTTCTCTCCTTTGTATAACCAAGTATGTCTCTTCTAGCCCTCATTTTAGTGTTTAATCACATGTTGGCTCTTGTGTTCCTTTCAGAACGCTCACCAGGTCTGTGTTCTCTGTCCCCCAGGTTAGTCCACTCGGGCTCGGGATGCAGGTCACCGTCTATTGGATCAGACCTCACATTTGCCACCAGGACGGGCTCCCGTCAGGGCATTGAGATGCACGTGTTCAGGGTAGAGACGCATCGGGACTTGTCGACGTGGACCCGTGTACTCGTACAAGGTTGTCATACTGCAGCTGAATTGATCAAAGAGGTTTCACTAGGTATCGCTGATATTTCACTTCCAATAGTAATTACATGATTGTAGCATGCTTTCATTTGAGCTAATGTCATTGTCATGTAGACAAATCTGAAGTATGTACAGAAATACATTCTTCCATCATCACTTCATTAAACTAACTGTCAGCATTTTGGCAGCTTGAAGAGGTGATATTGGAAATAAACCTGGCTTCTCTGACTCTAGTGGCATCTTCCCAAGCTCCATAGATGTCTTTATGCCTATTGTTAAATATTCATTGTAAAACCTTGAATTAACATTTTCTTTATGTGCTATTATTAACTACCCTTTCGATAATCTCCATTGTAAAACCTTGTATTAACATTTTCTTTATATGCTATTATTAATTACCCTTTGTATACAACTTACTGGGTTACTTTACTGAACACTGAAATTCATTCATCCCTGGGTGGAGGATTTTTAATATAAATGTTGTGTAGCAATCTTTAAAATGGTAACATCTGACAAGCCAGATGGCTGTAAGGACATAAAGAATTTAGAATGTCAGATTTTTAAAAAAGGAACTCCACTCTAGGACTGACTAAAAAAAATATATATATATATATATATATGTATATGTATAAATATATATATATATATATATGTATATGTATATGTATATATTTCCATGAACTTCCAAAGTTCTTTGTGGAGAAAAATCCTAAGGATCTGGTACAGTCTGTTTAAGCTCCCTCTAGTGGTTAGTTTCAATGAATGAAAATTTTACTTTTAAAAAAAAAATTTACATTTATATTTGTGTGAATGTCTGTGTTTATTAAGTGCTTGCTATGTGCAGAGCTTCAAGATAAGTGCTGTGGATGCAAATTTAAAAATCAAGACAGAGAAGAGTTCAGCTGTAAGGTAGATGGGAGAGCCCAGTGGTCCTGAGGGTGTAGCTTTAGGTAAAACAACCAAAGGGGCTTTTCATTTCAATCACTACTTATTTTATACTCCCCTTATGCCAGATATTAGGTATAATGTCAGCAGCTTAGACTGCCAAAATTACACACACACACACACACACACCCTTGAGATCCAAAGACCTCATCTCCATCCCCAGCTTTGTCCCTTACCAGCTGTATGACCTTTGGAAGTTTAGCTTTCTTGTGCCTCAATTTCTATATCTGTCAAATGGGGACTGTACCTGTCCTGCTTACCTTACCACTTTTTGCAGTGATTATGTGAAAGTGCTTTGAAAAACTTTGGAACTCTACAGAGATTAAGGCCAATATTCCAATGACCTATTTCATTGACATGGAACCTTCCTGCACCAAGGCAGAGCTCATCTGTCTCGGACTTGCAGGCTTAGAGAGCCTCCTGGGGTTTGTCCAGCACAACAAAGCAAGTGTCAGAGTTGGGACCTGAACCTTCACCTTCTGGACTGTGGCTCTTGCCCTCTATCCACTTTACAACACTGCCTCTCTACAGATAAAGGGATCGATTATTCTGTAATGACGTTTCTTTAAGCCACAGTTGTGATAAACAGCACCCTATGTTCTTTTCACCAAGACCTAAGAATTATGAAGCAGTTTTACAAAAATGAAGTAAAATAAGTTTTGTTTTTCTTCTTTAACTTGGTTAGTTAGCGTTTACCCTTGAGAAAAGTTTACATATATTGGGTTAAAGCCATACATTTACGGAGTCTTAATAAAGCCTTTTACATAACTCAAGTTGTACACATAATCTGCCATCTTGTAGTTAATGAGCAATTAATTTTCTTGTCACAACTGATTCACTAGGCCTCATTTCCCTTATCTGTAAAGTGAGAGGGTTGAACAAATGATTTCTAAGGAACCTTTCCATCGGCCATCGCAGATGGAGACCTGGCCTAAAACCTGAGATAACGTGGATTCCACTCTAGCCTCTGATGAGCCTAGCTGTGTGACTCCACGCCAGTCCTTCACAGTAAGATGCAGATGGGGCCAAACCCATAGGAGGTAGTGTCCTATACCTAAGAAAATCACACACGAGATCCAGACACATGTCCACATGTGTTTAATAAAAGTTATCTATAAGACTTGTAACTTTGCTAAGGAATTCATTAATCTGTCTTGGAAAGGATAATTAGAATTCCTTTTACCCTGAAAGGTCTAGTTTACCTTTTAATTTTTATCAGTGAGTATAAAATGATGGTGTGGGTCTTGTCGACCAGACCCTTTAGCTAACCATGTTGGGTTTATTCTTTCTCCTCTTTCTCCCTAACACAAGCCCCCAGCTCCAACCAGAGGGCCTCCTTCTGTTCCCTAAGTGAGTCATGCTTACTCCTGCCTTTGCCACAGCCATCCCCCCAGCCCAGCTTCTCCCCATCTCTCTCCCCAGCCCCCTAGGATGCCGTCCTAGTTTTTTATGCCTGTCAGTCCACATGCAGGAGGATGCCTGCAGACCTCCAGGACGTTCCCCTTCCTTCCTCTCTCATCGAGTCCAGGCCCTGCCTTACAATCTTTCTCTCCTCCCCAGCTCCTGTTCTCATCCTGGGAGACTTCAGCATTACATAGCAATACTCCCTCAATCACCCTAACCTCCCAATTCATTTCTCATGACTTCTGCTCTATCACAACCACAACAAGATGGTCATACCCTGGATCTCGCCCTCACCCACAAACGCCCCACCTCTGTTTTCATGAACTGTGAAATTCCCTTACCTGATCAGTCTGTTAGCATTCCGCCTCTTCCTCTGCCTTGAAATCTTAAACCATATTCTTCATCCACACCATGACCTCCGATCCCTCATCACCTCAGTCTTTGGTTCTCTCCCAGGCCCATCTTCCTGGCATTAGCCGCACTCTCCCCCTTTTCTCATCTCGATCCCTTAGTGAACCAGATCCTCCTCTCCTGGGTCCTTTACATCCCTATCATGTCACTGATTGTGCCCTGCCATGCCCCAGCCTTGGACCACTCCCACCATCCGCCACACCTGTTCTGATGGGGGTCCACTACAAATGTGTTACACAATCTCACCTGGGCCCTCACTGCTGCTCGGCCGTCCTGCTGTATCTGCCTTATCAACTCATTCTCCCATTTCCACAGCAGCTCTTCCAAACTTTCTCAAGCCTCCCATGGCTACCCCTCACTCCACCTCTCCACGAACAACCTTGCCTCATATTTTACTGAAAAAAATTGAGGTTATTTGCTGGAAGCTCCCTCTTCTCCTCCTCCTCCTTATCTTGTATCACCAGGTACCTTCTGCCCCATTTCTTCCTTCACTTCTGTCTCCCAGGATACTCTCTTCTGTCTTGGTTTCAAGACACCCCCTCTCCTGGTTCTGCTTCTGCCCATATTACTGTTCGTTCTCTGTCACCTTCACCGAATCCTCCATCTGGTCATGCCTACTAACTGTGGGTGTCCCACAGGGGTGAGTCCTGCTTCTCCTTTTCTTCTCCCCCTATAATGTTTCATTTGGTGATCTCATGGATCCCTATGGACTCAATTATCTCTATGTAAATTATTGTCAAATCTGCTTGTTCTGCCCTAAACTCTCTGCTGACCTCTATTATCACATCTTAACTGCCTGATAGACATCTCAAACTGGATGTGCTGTGGAAATCTTACACTAAACATGTCCAAAACTAAGCTCATTTTTCCCCCAGACCCTTTCCCCTCCTACCTTCTCTATTACTATAGAGGGCAACATCATCCTCCCAGTCCCCTGGGTATACCATCCAGGAGTGGTCCTGGATTCCTCACTACCTTTCACCCTGTGTCGAATTCCCCTTGAAACATCTCTTGAATATTTCCCCTTATCTTCTCTGACACTGCCCTGGATTATTGCAATAGTCTAAGGTGGGGGTGGGGGGGGCGGGGTCTGCCTGCCTCAACTCTCTTCCCCCTCTCCCCAGTCTATCCTCCATTTGGCCATCAAAGTGATTTTCCTAAAGTATCATGTCACTTACCATACCCCACCCCATCCTACTTAATAAACTCCAGTGGCTCCCTAATGCCTTCAGGATCAAATATAAAAACTTCTTGTTGGCATTTACAGCCCTTCCTAAGATCCCTCCTGCCCCCGCCAGTATTCTTACACCACACACACACACCCATACTCTACAGTCCAGTGACATTCACCTCTTTGTTGTTCTTTACATGAGACATTCTGTCTCCCAACTCCATCATGCATACTCCCTCTCCTCCGCCTTTCGGCTTCAGTTCAGTCCTAGCTGAAATTCCGCCTTCTATGGGAAGCCTTTCCCAGCTCCTCTTAATTCCATCATCTTCCTTCTGTTGATCATTTCCTGTTTATCCTGTCTAGAGCTTACTTTGTATACATTTGTCTTCATGTCTCCCCTGTTAGATTGTAAGCTCCTTGAGGGCAGGACTGTCTTGCCTTTCTTTGTATCCCCTGTGCTTAGTACAGTGTCTGGCACTTAGTAAATGTGGGCTTTTTATGGGCTGACTGACATATCAATGACCTCTCTTCTTTCACCAGCCAGCATAAATTACCCCTTCCACAAGAACTTTCCCCGTGACTCTGGCCACCATTGCTCCATACTGACATCCTTTTGCACTGTGCCACCACTCATTTTGATACACTTTATTATTTTGTATTTATGTCTGATTTCCCAAGTTAGAGTATTAACTCCTCGAGGCCAGGGACTGCTAGCACCTGTCTGATGTTTAATCATTTGGAATTGGATCCTATGTCAAAGAGAATATGGTGGTCTCCTTTTTGTATCAATGGAGAAATCAGTGACCAAAATGAGGTCTTGATTAGCAGATGCCAAGTAAGTGGTGACTCGCTGAGGTCTGAGCATATGTTGCCTTCCTCACTCCAACTCAGAAGAATTCTCCGGCCCTTGACAGCGCAAAGAGTAAACCCTCCTAATCGTGCTTTCCTGCCTATTTTTGTACAGGTTGCATAATGAATGGTCAGGAAGTGCGACTCACAGTGCATTATGAGAATGGATTCACAATCTCCAGAGAAGGAGGAGGCCCTGGCAGTGTGTTATATCGATACCCCTTTGAAAAGTTAAAAATGTCTGCTGATGACGGTATCAGAAATCTGTACTTGGATTTTGGTGGTCCTGAGGGAGAACTGGTAAGCAGGATTGGGGAAATCATTTTTAAAAGTTCTAGAATCTTTTTTTTTTTTTTTTAAGGCAATTGGGATTAAATGACTTGCCTAGGGTCACATAGCTAGTAAGTGTCAAGTGTTTGGTCTGAGACCGGATTTGAACTCAGGTCCTCCTGACTTCAGGGCCAGTGCTCTATCCACTGCACCCACCTTGCTGCCCCCAAAAGTTCTAGAATCTTGAAGAAAATAATGGAGGTAAGGTAGGAATGAAATGAGCATAGCATTACCAGATGTCAAATTATATTGTGAAGTACTAATCGCAAAATAGTACTGGTTTAATAAAAACTAGGTTGCTAGGTGGTGCAGTGGATAGAGTACCAGGTGTTAAGTCAGGAAGATATCTTTCCAAGTTCAAATCTGGCCTCAGATACTTAATAGGTATGTGACCCTGGGCGAGTCACTTCACCCTGTTTGCCTCAGTTTCCTCATCTGTAAAATGAGCTGAAGAAGGTAATGGCAAACCACTCCAGTATCTTTGCCAAGAAAACTCCCAGTGGGGTCACAAAGAGTCAGACACAGCTGAAAAGGAAACAACAACAAAAAGAAAAATAGCTCAGTGGAAGAGCATAGGTCAGCAAGACCCAGAATCTACTGAAAAGGGCTGTCCTGGGTTCTGTAAGCCTAAGAACACAGACTCTAGGAGTGGAGGTGGGAGGAAGGATTCCCTATTTAATAAGAATTGCTGTGAAAATAGAAAACACTTTGAAAAGTTGGGTTTAAACCAGCATCTTAAACTATATAGTACAAAAAATTTTAGGTGCATTTGCCACCTTAATATAAAAATTCACATTACTTTAAATAAAAGCTAAAACTTAGGAAAGACACCTTTCACAACACTGAAAGGGGAAAATTCTTTACCCTCAGGATCATAAAAGTTAAAATGGATAGTCTTAATTATATAAAATTAAACAGCTTTTGCACGAACAAAATCAGTTCAGCTAGAATAAGAAAAGAACCTGTTAAGTGTGAAATCTTCATATCAAATATCTGTGATAGGTAGGATATCCATGCTATGTAGGGAACTGACATAAATATGTAAGACCAATAGGCATTCCTCAGTTAGCTAGTCCATCAGTAGGCATTTATATTACATTTATTACTCTGATAAGTAAGTGATCAAAGTGGATGAACAGTTTACAATGACCATATGAAAAATTGCTTCAAATTACTAAAAACAAATACAAATGAAAACAACTCACATGATTTAAAATGGCAAAAGATGGTAAAATACGTGAATACCATTGTTGAATGGTTCGTGGGAAGACAGACACCCTTATGTGGGTGTTGCTGGAGCTGTGGATTGGTCCGGATGCTCTAGAAAACAATTGTGCAAGACATGACACGGATCTGTTCATACCCTTTGATCCAGTGATTTTATTACTGAGCAGATACTCCAAGGAGGACCAAGATAGAATGCCTCTCATAGCAGCGCTTTCTGTGCTAGCAAAACACTGACAACAAAGGGGCTTTCTTCATTCAGGGAATAGCTGGACAAACCATGGCACAGGAGTAATGGAATGGAATACTCTTAACTCCACCAACAAGTGGTGAGTGGAGTGTTTCATTTTCCTTTGGACTCATGGTTTATCACTGAATCAATCACTAATGTTGTTTTCATTGTATCAATTGTCCTTGTATTTCTGATCACTTCACTCTGCAGCAGTTCATCGGGCTTCCTACTCTCCTCAGAAACTCTCCATTTCATCATTTCTTCTGGCATAGTAATATTCCATCACATTCATATATACAAATTTGTAGCCTTTTTTCAATAGGAGTACATTCCCTTAGTTTCTGATTTCAGGCTACCACAAAAAAAGCTTTTACAAATATTTTTGTACATATAGAATTTTTTCTCATTTTATCTTTGGAGTATAGGCGCAGTGGTTGTGGTATGCTTGGGCCAAAGGGAGCTATTCATAGTTAAGTAACTTTGGGGACATAGTTCCAAATTGCTTTGCAGAATGGGTGGACCAATTACACTGTACCTCCACCCACAAAACACAAGTGTGCCCATTATCTCTGAGCCACCCTTTGTCCTTTTTAATTTTTTTGGTTATCTTTCCCAATCTAATGGGTGTGAACTGAAACCTCAAAGTTGCTTTCTAATACTTTGCATTTCTCTATTAATGATTTGGAGTATTTTTTCACAAAGCTGTTTATACTGTCTATTTATATCTTTTGACTATTAATCGACTGGGGAATAGTTCTCTTATAAATTAATTCCTTATTTGTTTTGTAAATGAGAGCTTTCTGAGAGAAATTTGTTTCAAGGATCCTCCCCCCCTCCCCAATTTGCTGTTTTCTTTCTAATTTTAGCTGCATTGGGTTTTGTTGTACAAAATGTTTTTTGATTTTACAGACTCACAAGTGTCCATTTTGGCTTCAGTTAGCGTCTCCATCTCAGGCAGATAAGCTGAAACCCACCGACAAAAAAACCAAGATAGTTTAATTTGCTGTTTCAGCTTATTTGCCTGTTTTTCTTATTTTTCTTATGTTCTTGTTCCACATATTTGAATAACTATGCTTGTCAATGGAAGTTAAAATAAATTTTACTTTAAATAAAGTAAAAGAAAGAAGTGTTTGACAAAAGTTTTCTATTGAATGCTGATGCTAGTAGCCCTTTTAAAAAAATAAAACAGAACTATAGCCAGTGCTAATACTGGTGATCTGTTAAGAGGAGGCAGTTGAGATTTAGTCACTTAGTTGCCAAGGGAACTCTGATTGAATGGAAATAGTACGAGGGCTGTGCCCACACAGCATGACATGCATTCTCATTTGCCTTCTGTCTATGGAAAGATAAGGAAGCAGAGATGTTTTCCTTGGAGGAACAAAGCAGGTAGGTGGAAGGCCCAGAGGCAATCTGGAGACAGAAGCTCCAGAAGTAAATGCCCACCTTTGCTCTCACAGGCGGTCAGCTGGTTTTTCTTGCCAAAGTTGCCCCGATGCTCCAAGAAGAAGCAGTGAGCCCTTGAACCTCAAAGGGGTGGGGGTGGGGGTGGGGGTGGGGGACAGAACTGGATTTGTGACTTTATTGCTGTAGGGAACTCCCAGTGAGGAAGCTCCCTCTCACAGCGTAGGCCAGCACCTCTCTGCAATTTCTAGTGTTAAGGAGCTGTCCAGAGCCCTGAGAGTTAAAGTGAGTTAACTGCCCATGATCGCAAGGCCATTTTGTATCACAGGTGGGCCTTGAATCCAGGTTTTCCAGGCCCCAAGCCCAACGCCATCCATGGCACCACAATTCCTCTGTAAGGATAAACTCCCTGTTGAGATCAAGGTGTGCAGGGCTCGGAAGCTCAGCAGAGAAATGACCATTCTAGCTTAGAGCTAACAGGAAGCTCCTGGAGTTTATTGGTTAGAGAAGTGACATGGTCGGTTCAGGATTGAAGGAAAACCGAATCGTGTAGTTTGAATTGGAGTAATGAGAGTTGAGACCAACTAGGAGACCGTGGCAATGATCTCAGCTACTGGAATGAAGAGAAGAGATGGAAGAGTGTTGTGGAGGCAGATCCAGATCCAGCAAGATTTGGCGACTGGCTGGATACGTGGGGTGAGGGAAAGGAGGAATGAATAATGCTAGTTATAAATTGGGAAACTGGACAGATGGTGAGGCCTTGGGACAAAAATAGGGACTTTGGAGGAGGAAGAAGAGGGGAGAGTTTGAGGGGAAAGAGAAGTTCAGTTTTGGACAAATTGAGTTTGAGATGTCTCTGGGACATCCACTTTGAAATGGCTAATAGGCAACCGTTGATGGGGTTACAGCCTCTCAGCTTGGGAGGGGGTAGGGCTGTATATGTGAGAGAGTGTGGTTATCTGCGACCCCGGCGGTAAGACGCGGGTACCAGAGAAGAAGGGCTAGGGACAGAATATGGAGAACACCCGCAGGGGGAGAGCACGATGTGAATGATGAGCCAGCAAAGGAGACAGAGGGGAGCTGGGATAGATGGAGCGGAGAGACAGGGCAGTCAGTGGTATCACGTGTACCAGCTGTGTCGGGAAGGATGAGTCCTAAGGAAGACCATCAGACGTGGCGAGTGAGGAATCACTGGCGACTCAGGAAAAGCCGTTTCCGTTCAGTGAGGAGTGTAGGAGCCAGACTGCAGAGGACTGAGAAGTCAGCAAAAGGCGAGGAAGGAATGGCTGGGCATATGGTCAGCTTTTTCAGGGAGTTTGGACAAAGAAGGGAGGGGAAATCTAGAGTGAGAGACTAAAGGGATGACGGAGCAGTGATTTCTAAAGGCTTGGGCATGTTGGAACACAGTAGCTGAGGAGCCAGTGGATAGGAAGAGGTGGAGGGGGTGGAGAACAAAAGCTGCTGGGGCTGGGATCAAGGCATGGCCTGGGAAGGGGAAGGGTCGCCTCTTCGTCAGACACTTAGGGAGAGGAGATGTCATTGTAGAAATTGTTCTCCTAGTTCTGCTCACTTTGGTCTGTGTCCGTTCATAGAAGTTTTCCCAATATCCAATGAAACTGTACATTTTGTCATTTCTTCTTGCACAAAAATATTCTGTTGTATTTATATGCCATAATTTGTTTAGCCATTCCCCAATTAGTGGGCACCCCCTTAGCTTCCATTGTTAACTACTATGAAAAGAGCTGCTATGAATATTTTTGTATATATCTACCTCAAAACTTGCTTCATTTAAATTTACTGTGGTTCTTAAGTAAAATAAATGTCAAGATTACAGTAGTTTCAGAAATGTCAGAGTATTCTTAACTTTATATATAATAAAAGTCACCTGTCCCCCATTTATCCCAAAAATAAAAAGAGGAAAAGAGTCCCTAATTGGATAAAATCAAATACTGACTTACTCTATCACTGGGCCCATCCTTATCTGGGTACAATTCCATATTAGCAAAAAATATTCAGCAAACGTTTGTTAAGGCATTGTGGTATACACTAGGAATAAAAAAAAAGAGAAGGGATGTGGTCATTGTCCCAAAGAGCTTCTATCTGTTGTGAGATTATCTCTTTTATACACACACACACACACACACACACACACACACACACACACACAGCAGTGGAGTTCAAAGCAGCTCACGATGAGAGTGAAAGGACCTTTGGACAAAATACGGTAGGAGAGTTTGAGGAGAGAGGGGACCCTTCTTTCCAGAGGCCTTTGAGCTGACCACTGACGACAGCCGGTGGAGATGGGGGGTGCCTCACCATAGGGCCGACTTTAGACAGCCTGTGTGTGTGTCGCACCTTCTCCATCTCAAGAGTACTGACTGGCTCCTTGCTCTCCCCACAGACCATGGACCTGCACTCATGCCCCAAGCCAATTGTTTTTGTGGTGCACACCTTCTTGTCAGCCAAAGTCACGCGCATGGGCCTGCTGGTGTGAGCCTGAGGCCGCTGAGCTCTGAGCATCACAAGGAGCACCTCCACCTCCGAAGAAAACAATTAAGCACAAAAGAAAGCTGCTTCTTTTGCTCTCTCCTACAGCATCAGTGCCTTGACAAGGACCTGCAATCACTGCTAACCCAAAACCGTGTTCACAGAACATCCCGTGAGGACGAGCCACCACGTGCAGGAGCTCCGGCGTTCTCCCTGAGGTCCCTCCCTGGTCAGGGATAGGGAGGCGTGACTTCCGTGACTGTGGAATGATGAGCTATTTTCTGTATATTCTATGTGTTCATCATCTGTTTGTGTTTGTCTTTCTTCTCCCATGATGGGGTGGGGTCATGGTTCTTCTTTCCAAATACGAGCAAACAGTGGAGAGACATTTTCCTTGTTCCCGAGTTCATGGGCTTGATTTGGTGCCCATCCTCACACCCGACATTCGGGTTGGACAACTCTCCCCACCCTTTCTTTGCGAGCAGGCTGTTAGCGTTGCAGCCATTTCAGGGGCTTCCTAAGCTTTGGCAGGAGTTTGCCATCACGTTCTGTTGTGTGAAGCCTCAATTGCAGGCCCCATGGGTATCCCTCTCTCTGTCACGATGCTATCGTCACCTAATTTACCAAGTTTTATCACTCAAAAGTGTTTATAGCATAAAACTTGTGAAATGTTGATTTAGTTCGCCATATATTTTTAACCAGTACCTAGCAGAAAGAATATTGGAGACCAGGGTATTACAAGGAAATATCTACTCATTTCAGTTTTGGGGTTTTTTTTTTCTCTAATGTTTTTGGAAGGAAACAGAGGATATTATGGTATGAGACTGATTTTAAAAGAAAATCTTTATACAAAGCCATTTTTTAATGGCTTGCCAAATGTGCCTTTGGTCACAATGGGTGAGATGTAGGTGAATATCACAAGCTCCATTAAAGGAAGGTCATCCCAGTTCTAAAGAATGCTTCGTTAAGGTGAGCTTCCATAGCTGTATTTTGAGCAGCTGGCAAGCTCCTGTAGAGAAGACAGACCTAGAAGGGTTGCCATCCCATTTCAAGAGTCAGCTTCGGAAGAACAATATGCCCCTTTGCACAAATGCTCTCCGTGATCCTGTAGGGCCATCTGATCCCAGTGCAGGCTCTGCAATATATGGGCTGGTTTATCCCCCACAACGTGAGAGAGAAAAAAATTATTGATCCTCAGCAATGTCAAGACCCAGCGTGCCTCATAGCCTGGCAGATGCACTGAGGCTCTAGAATAGCCCTCTGGCATTCTTGAAGTGTTCTTGACATTCCTCCAAAGAAACGGAACAAACAAGGTTGTTGGGTTTGTGGCATTGTAAATCCTTCCCTTCCCCTAATCTTAACAGGGCTACATTTATGAAAAATGGTTAAAAATAGAGTATGAATGCCATTTGAGTTAGAACAGTCATCCTGAATCTGAAAGGAAAGCAGCAGTGGAGCCTTACACCCGGCCTGGGTGTTGACTCTGGCAGACTGGCTGCGATCAGAGAGCCAGGCCAGGAGGGTCTCATTGGAAAGCTCCCTCCTTGCATCAGGGAAGTGCTGGAGAGCTGGGCATCCCAGGAAGGATCCCAGGAGTGAGCATTTTTGATACGGTTATGAAGACTAGGCACATGGTAGAGCAGTGCTAGTGGTTGCCTCTTGAGCAAACACAGGCCAGCTCTCCCCATGACCACTGCCCTACCCCTTTCCATGAACTACCTGTGCTCTTGATAGGGATGAGGAAGGTGCCCTTGTTCTCTTGTCCCAGATCCATGGAATTTCTGGAGGCTAGACCTAAATTGTCCTCCCTACTTGAACTGCAGATACAAATTCAAAGGCAAAATAGAGTTATTCATAGAATTTGTTATTTTCAAAATCCATAGGTTCATCTTAAATTGGAACTTACAGGTTAATTGGCCTTTTAAATATCTTTTTCATCTCAAATCCAATTTGAATTTTGATAGTAAAAGTTTTAGTGGCTGGGGGCAGCCAACAAGACCCAAGAACTTTTTTTAATGTCTTGAAGCCCAGGTCATATCTTAAAGCAGAATTCCAGCACTTGATTCGGTCAAATCTAGGAGCTTGGCTCTTTTCAACAGGCGCTGTCAAATCTCTGTGCAATCCAAATATCATTACATTGGACTCCTGTTTTCCAAGGTGAACAAAAGTTTAACTCTGCAGACTGAAATTTCCCCAACAACATCCTTAGATTCCTGCTTTGCTGTGGATATTTTTATATATTCTTGTTTTGGGGAGAAAAAAAAAAGGCTGAGCCTACAAGAAATATAATTATGGGAACGTCTGGAAACCGCCCTATTCATCCTTCTTCACAAGAAGATTTTGTACAGGGTAAAATGTAAGTGCGAACAAGAAAAACCAACCCTCGTCTGTCCTTCCTAATCTGGGATCAGATTGTGGATTTCATTCCCCCAGTTTGGGCTGTTCAGGCATAAAAGCATCAAAGACCTAAGGGTCTTGATTAGATCTTTGCACCTTGAAAGAGAAACAAAATGGAAGGGAATGGAAGCCCTCCCACAAGACCCCAACCTCTCTGGGAAGCCTTCAGGCTGCACCTGGTAGACCTTTTGGGAGTCATCCCGTCACGGGTGGCTAGGGTACAGTTGGTGAGATCCCTATCCCACAAATGGAGGGACAGCCTGGATAAATGTGTTAATAATTAAGTGCACCAAATATGGCAGATTGTTTGAAAAGACGGCGTTGTTGCCTTTCTGCCTCTGACCACCAGCCGGGTGGCTTTTGGTCCCCTTCTCATTTTTGATGAGAAGACTCGTGAAAGTCCTCGGTGCTCCCCGTGGGTGGAGCTTAAAGGGAACCACTGGGCAGTGGATACTTCTTCACACTCCTATGCAACCGAGGTGGGGGGAGTGGAGATTTTCTGTTCCACACTCCCCTCCCCCACATTCATAAGCCACTGATTGGTGAGAGGGTCTGCTCTTTTCTTCCTGTAACCCTTTCTTTCTCTTTTTTCCTCCATTCCCCTCTGTCCTCACCCTGGCATCTGATAGAGAAAAAAACTGAAAAGTAGAAATAGCTATCTTTTTGTAAAAGGAAAACCTTTCCTTGCAAGGTCAAAAAATAGAACTCGACCTGCAAATTAGTTTAAAATCTAGCATTATATAGATAAGTATTTTTCTTTCATGTATGTTTATGCAGTTATTTATTAGAATAATTATAATTGTAATTATATGTAACTACCCAGTAGACTCCAGAAATGTGAGGTATACTGGCTATGTGCACATATTCAGAATTTTATTCTAAAGGCCATTCAAGTCTTCAAAAGCCATCTTTGAGCACTTTTTAAACAAGGGATATCTTATTGGTTCACATTATCTGTTCTTATTATCTGCACTTTCAATAACTTTACAAATCCAAAAACTGACTGCATAGGCAGGAAGTAGAGGTATGCAATTCCTTGTTTGTTACATTTCTATTGAAAAAAAAACAAAACAAACCCATACCTTTAAATAGCAAATAGTTAAAGCTGTTACTGCTATTTTATGTCTCAAAATTAATTCTGTAAAGGTATATGCTAGTAGCAAAATCTTGCTTGCTATTTAAATTTGCACTTAGCTGCCAAATCCTAAGTTTTCCTCAGTTTTTTTTTTTTATAAAAATCCATGTGGAGAATTAATAAGATCATGTTTCTCCCAGAAAAATAGCTTTTGCTATAAACGGTTTTCAATGACAAGGAGGTGTGACTACATTTGAAAAAAAGTCTGATGGATTTTTTTTTTCTCAAAAAAACCTTCAGATCCTACGGTATAATTTATATGCATGTTATATTAGTATATTTAAAAAAAAATGAGACAGTCCCTGTTCATGTTTTTTCTTTCACCTACAAACTATCTTGTAAGCTGCTATGCAAATTATCTTCAAAGCCCTACCTACTTAAAAGGTTAATTAAACATTCTTTATTTAGGCTCTGGGGAAGACTTACGCACTTTTCTCTGGGTTTTGTTTTTTTTTTATTCTTAGCTCTGACACAAACTGAATTATGTTAATGTCTTAATTTTGGTGGCTATAAACTATTAATTTTAAATAACGTTTAAACTGAACAGTGTTGCTGCCAATGTTAAATGAAACTACAGTTGATCTGTCAGGTAGGAAGGCCAAAGGTTGCTATTGAATTCTGTATTATTAAATGAAAAGTTAAATGCCAAAACTCTTTGGTTCTGAAGCTGCTTGCATCGGAGAAATTCTAGTTTCTTCTATAAAATGAGGACTTCTTTAGACCTTAGAACTTTGTTTAAACTATATTTTAGTTTAAACATGACCCACTGCCCTACTGCAGATTGCTTTTTGGCAAGACCTCATATGCAGTCAGTGAAGTCTGTAGTATTTTTCAGTTAAATTTAGATTATTTTTGTCTCCCCCGCCATCCCCACCCCAGTATAGGAAGTATAAGAACTCATTATTTGATGCCCCCATTTTAGTAAGCGCCATTTTTTACCTGGTAACCTAGAACTAGGTACATCAACGTTTTACTTCCACTGAGTGGTCTAAGATGCTAATATGCTTTTAAAAACCACACAGTTCATAAAAATCCACATTGCTGGAATCTTACCCAGCACTTGGTAAATACTTAAGAGTTGATAAACATTGTCTGAAATGATTACGCCACCACCTTAAGCACTTGATTCTGTAAGGGTCTTATAAGTGATGCATGAATTTAAGTGACTTGTCCTAACGATGTTAGAGATTTATTTTATGTAGAGAGTGTGTTAGAGTAGCTACTCTGAAGCCCTTTCCCACCAAAGCTAAGTTTGGCTTTTGCTACTGGTGATGCAAGTTCAGTTGCTTAAGTGAGTCTGGGCCCATACTGCAAAGTCTCAGAATTGGAGGGGCTCCTCCCGCACCCAACTGTGGCCGTACCTGACAAGGAATCCCCTCTGCAACACACCCAACAAGTGGTCATCCTGTCTTTGCCTGAGAAATGTTTCAGGAGTAGAACCCACTGCCCCCTCAGGCAGCCCACTGCACTTGTGGTTGGTTCTAATTGTCAGAAAGTTTTATCTCCCATCAAGACGAAATGTGCAAATTTTACCTCCTTTCTTGTTCTCCCTTTTGGGGCCACGCAGAACCAGTCTGTCCCTTCCACGCAAAAGCCTTTCTTCAGATATTGAGTGTTAGCTATATGGTTTCCCCTAGGTCTTTTCCTTTCCAGACTGGACTTTTTCAGTTCCTTCACAGATCCTCTTATAGCACAGTCCCAAGGACCATCATCATTCCACTTTATCTGTGTCACCCACAGCTGACTGGTCCCCATGTAGTCTGATGGAGCTAGGGTACAGGAGGCCCTTCTTTCTCACTCTGCCCTCCTGCCTCTCCCAATGCAGCCTGGGATCGTGTCACTGGTATTACAGCTGCTGTATCACAGGAGTGTCCACTTGCACTGGGCTTCTATAAAGTCTGCTAAATTGCCCCAGGTCTTTTTTCAAACATTGCTCTGTAACCAAGCAAATGAGGAAACCATTTTATACTTTTGAAGCTGATTTTTTTGAACCCAAGTGAGACCCCTTATTCCTATTAGCAAGAATTATTTATATGCTTTAGCTTTTAAGGAATATTTTTAGATGTGATGGGTTTTATTTCAGAACTGGTGAAATTTAACTTCAGTGTCTGATATTCTCTCCTACCCTGCTTATGAGCTTACCTAGTGGCAGAACTTGAAGTATTTTTTTCTCATTTTCCAGCACTCCTGCTTTTGATGTCATGGTTCTATGTGCCTTTTTACA